AGAGAAACGATTTCCTACTAAAATGGAAGGCTTATTTGAGTAATAGCTTTCCAGTTTGTAAATGATTACTTGTGATGGTCATTTGATTAACGTAATGGTTGATTACCATTTTGTTACTTATCAATACTTTAGTTTTATAATTCATACTTAAATCATACTTAATTTCATTTATTTAAATTTATGTATACATATATATATATAATGTAATAAATTAAAAGTTAAATGTTGAAAGAATAAAGCAGAAACCCCGAATAATATTTGGTTTACATGAATTCTATGAATTAACACCCATAGAAAAAGCGACTATGAAGAAATTATTTATTTCTACTTCGATTATTTATAGATTATTATTTATGTATATTTTTGTATTTAACATTAATATTTTTCATATATGACAAGAAACTTACCAGTTTTCAAATAATTTGTAATGGTCTTTTGATTAATATAATTCTTCATTATCATTTTCGTAATTATCTACTTTCAGTTGCTTAATTCATACTTTATTTAATTTCTTTATTATATTTATTATAATAAAACAAAAGTTAAATGCAACAGTTAGATTTAGTATTATAAAATATATAAAGTAATATATATTGGGTATATTGCGAAAATATTGGGTGTTAAGGGATAGTATTGAAGAAATATTGACTATTTAGAAATTACTTACTTTTCCATTATATTGTTTCTCTATTAAGCATTTTTTTTGCTGAAACCGTCATAATTATTTAATAACATAGCTATGGTAGAAAGTAAGCAAAAATATTATCTCTGATATATAAAATATCAATTCTCGTGCAGAATATTGTGTTAAAGAATTTACAAAGATTTTCATATTTATTTTGTTGTACTACATTATGTAGTACATTTTAATGTTTTAACTAGTGAACAAAAACAGAATGTACAGTATCGTAGTATACTGCTCATGTCCGAAACACATCAAAAATTTTTAAAGATTTTGTGTCCGCGATTACAAACTGTATATTTTTAAAGTTTGTGTTCTTTTCCCGAAGGTAGTGCTCTTTTTAGTGATCTTTTCCCGGAGGTAGTGGTCTTTTTAGTATTCCTTCTTCGGCGTTGATCGTGTACTAACCACCTAGTTTATGTACGAACCATCGCTACTCCTGCGGTAGCGCTAAGTGAGCTTTCTTAGTATACAAAGCCGCAACTCCCACCTATTATGTATTCAGATATTTATTTTTATTTGTTGTTGGATTGTTTCATGTATACAGTAGTAACGAACATCTTAAACATTCTTTAATATACAATTAATTTAAGATTTAGTTTTTATTTAATTTTTATTTAAAAGCAAAAAAATGGAATAACTGGAATTTAATAAAAAATACTGCAACCAATATTAAAGCACAAAAATTGCAGTGCAACCAAAAATTGCAGTGATATCAATTCAATACAAAAATGAATCTCAAATATAAGAATTTGATTGCACTTCAAGGTGTAATTGTTATGTTCGAACCGAAACTTTTTCCCATTAGATGACATAAAAATTCCACACAAGTGCCACATTTATAAATTTTAGTACATATAAGTACCATTTCGGCTATACATGCAGGTGCATATTCAGGTTAATTTTTATTTCCTTCAATAAAAATACTTTTCCACTTTATAAAAAATTCGAAAAAAAATACACTAAACTGAGTTTTGATTTTTTTTTTCGTGTGTATGAAGGTAATAAAAATCGATTTTGATATTAATGACAACCATACTAAAATCCACAATAGACAAAAATACTTCAAAGAGTGACACTCGAAGACCCATAAATGGAACCATACCTATGCCTTGTATTTATGGGGAAAGCAATGGAACTACATTTTTTATCTAAAGCTTACCCATGCATACTAACACTAACTCACCCACTCAAAATACTTAAGCAAGCACATATGTTGGCTCACCGTGCCATGTATGTATCACTATAAATCCCAGCTGAAGAGTTAAGCTCAAATCTTTTAAGTGTTTTACGATAGGATATTCTTTTAAATGCAGCACGTACTGCACAACGATTGTGTTGCACTTGCTTCCTGTCATTTACATGGGTTTATGTTTGTTTGCGTGTGTATGTCTGTGTTTGTGTGTGTGAACGAGTAATAGTATTTTATTCTATTTTTCTCATTTTTTTCCAAAGTGTTAATAAAATGTATACAGATTGACAAAGTAAATATGACCATAACTACACTTTTGTTACAGAAAAATAAAAGTAAATTGCAATTGAGTCATATTGGGTGTCAAAGGACCTTATGCAATATCTGCATAAGAAAAAAAAACGACAAAGTAATCGAAAAACTTGCCGACCAAATACGTATAGACCACATAGTCAGTCAGTCTGTCTGAAGTACTGCAGCACAAATATAGTTCAAGTATCTCTGCAGTTGCCATTTTCAAAAGAGATTTAAAAAACAAGCAAAACTCGTTTAATGGAAATCATTTTCAAGATTAACACATAAGCTGCCAAAGGAGTACAATAACTTTTGTTTTGTAAAGGATACGCTTTATGTATTGGGAATTAACAATACCGCGTTTGCAGTATACTATGTTTCAAATAAAACGTTTTGCTTAACGCACTTTTTAAAAAGAAGACGTTGCACAACGCCGTACTTGCCGCAGTTTAAGAATTGCTATTAGGTAAAACAAGGAAGAAAATAGAGTTACCATTTTTTTTTTTAATAATTCAACTTCAATACATCATTCAACTTATTTAAACTTATGGTAATGAAGTATCAATCAAAACATGTCTATCACAACTTGAGGAAATTCATTTGTGACAGTTGCTTGCAATAGACATTATTAAATAAAGTTGACCAAAATCGATTATTTTACCAAAATGCCTATAAACATTGTTCAACTAATTTCAAATTATTGTTCAGAATCCTAATCTAACATCTTTACAAAGTGATCACATCTGGAGCAATAAAAAGTACAAGTAACTGTCGAAAGAATATAGAACCTGCAGAAAGTCATTATATGGTCTGGTTAGACCTGGAAGTGTTAATCACAATAGTATCCCCAATTCTAGAATTAACGGCTCCTTGCCGTTCAAACAACTTCAAAAATAATTTCCACACTCTTGTAACTCGAAATATCAATGGCATAAACAACGATATGAATGAACTTAAATACATGCTAAAAGTACTAATGGAGTAAATAAATACCATGCTTAACCTGTGGTTATAAATATATCAATATAACTTCAAATCTGTAAGTCTGTAGATTGGTGTCTAAAGGGACTTAGCAATCATTTATTAAAAAAGCTTTTTAAGCATCAAAGAATACAGCATATATAACACTAATTATCCTGCTCCAGTGGCAAAATGATAAACAGAAGTAATCGTATTAAACAATTACGTACGAAACTATAGCTGTATCAACATAACCATAACAGCAATATACTGCCTATCAATTTTGAACAACATACTCGTCGAATATTGGCATAAACACATGTCATGGAATAGCTTAAAAGTAGTTATAGATAAAAAGAGAGAAAGGGAGAAATTACATTAAATAACATATATATATTTACTAATGAATAAAAAGCAGAAGTGAAATCACTTCCAGTCCTAATGAATATAACCATGGGTAGTTAGTGCTTCCCTATATTAAAAAGATTTTAGGTGGCTAAAAATTAGTAAGATTTTATAAGATACGATAAATAAGATTTTATACCTATAACGAGGTTGGTAACTGAGTAACATTGACTCGAAATGTATTTTATTATTGCAATTTTGCACAATTACTATGTTATCTGACATTTATTAATAATCCTTATAACTTTAATAATATATATGATAAAATAGGATTCTCCTAAACGGTTCAAGTTTCATCATTGAAATCATATTGATTTCTTCCAAAATACTACTGCGCCTGATTTTAAAATAACTTTCTGTGAGAAAATGTGTATATATAATATTTTTATAATTTATTGCTATTTAAAACATTCAACAAAATAGTTAGTAAACTTTTTAAAGAAAGCTCATAAAAAACTATTAATGAAACTATTAAAATTGTATTTGTTACTGCACAATAATATAAATTATTTAAATAAAATCATTTTTAATAACTACCTGCAGCTTACAATCAGAATTGCTCACTTCAGAAGTAATTATTTGGGAAAAACCTGCATTTTCTCTCGGAATTGTCAAAACAATTTAGTTATTGTTTTCCAGGATAATGCATATAGTATGTAAATAAATGTTTATAGAACAAATATTAATATGTATGTAAAAAAATGACAAATATTTGCAATGTGCAAACACATGCAAACCATAACAAAAATGAAATGCAAAAAAACAAAATTAAATCCTGCAATCAAAATATTTAAATAGAATATCATTCGCTTAAACTACAAAACCATGAAAAAATAAAAAAATTATTTGTGTAAAAAACAAAATGAATCAAACTTTTAAACAAATGGTATGTAAATTTTTCTGCTTCAAAGGATTTTCGCATACTAGAATGATTTTCGGATGAAATTTGCACAAGGATATGTGCAAGCGAGGCGAAAAAGTTCACACATATTGCAAATGTCCTGCCGCAAAATGAATGTGTTTTACACATAGTAACAGTAGAGTTACTCTGTGAGGGTTACTCTGTGAGGGTCCTACCCATAGTACCTCACAGTAACAATAGTCACAGCTTTTAATTTTATTCTTACATTTTACTATTTCTTTTTTAATATCTTTGAGTTTTGTGTAAGCCTTTTTATTTCAGTTTGTTTTGTTTTCTTTCATTTTTATTTTATATTGTTTTTTTTTTAATTTTATTTTATTTCATTTACAGTTTCATTTACTTTTATTTTAATTTTTATGTTCACAGTCCACCTTTTCTTGGTATTTCTGCTTGAATGGCTGTACTCTGCGGTTTTCTGTTTGGTTACAATTACAATTTGTGGTAC